ATAGAATAGAATAGAATAGAATAGAATAGAATAGAATAGAATAGAATTCTTTTATTGGCCAATGTGATTGGACACACAAGGAATTTGTCTTGGTGCAAATGCTCTCAGTGTACATAATAGAAAAGATGCATTCATCAAGAGTCAAGAATCATCAGGTCCAACACTTAATGATAGTCATAGGGTACAATAAGCAATCAGCAAATTTATTTAGAAAATAGCTTGACCCCTTGTCCTCTCTGTGGAGGGGGCTGTCCTCAGCCCCTCAGATATCAGAAGACTGCTATCCTGTCTCCCCTGGTCCTTCTCTTCACTAGACTAGCCAGGCTCAGTTCCTGCAACCGTTCTTCGTATGTTTTAGCCTCCAGTCCCCTCATCATCCTGGTTGCTCTTCTCTGCACTTTTTCTAGAGTCTCAACATCTTTTTATAGTGTGGTGACCAAAACTGGATGCAGGACTCTTGGAAGCAACCTGGAATTGGGGAGAAACTTCTTAACAGTGAGAAAAGTTAACCGGTAGAACAACTTGCCACCGGAAGTTGTGGGTGCTTCCGTCACTAGAGGCTTTTAAGAAGAGACTGGACAGTCACTTGTCTCAAATGGTATAGGGTCTCCTGCTTGAGCAGGGTTGGAGTAGAAGCGGGGGGGGGGGGCAATTTATTTTCCGAAGCCCCAGAGGGCAGGATGAGACACGGGTTTGGCCAGTCTAGAGAAAAGAAGGACCAAGGTCGACATGATAGCAGAGTTCCAATATTTGAGAGACTGCCATAAGCAAGAGAGCGGGTCTGCCTATTTTCCAAAGCACCCGAGGGCAGGACAAGAAACAATGGTTGGAAACTCATCCAGGAGAGAAGCAACCTGGAATTAAGGAGAAACTTCCTAACAGTGAGGACAATTAACCAGTGTAACTGCTTGCCTCCAGAAGTTGTGGGTGCTTCATCACTTTCTCGGGATGTGTTTGACCCCCTCTCGGGCTCAGCCTGGTCATCTCCTATATATGGGTTCCTTTACAAAAGTGTTGCCTGGGTTTGGGGTTTTTTTGAGCAATTTCTATGCCTCAGGGATGCACCTCAGCAAATGGGCCTTTGTAGAGAAAGCTCTTATGCATCCAGATTTAATTTTTAATTTCCACGTGGTAATAGTCCTACTTTGTCCCCCTTTATTATTTAAAGATCCATTCCAGGTCCCCATGAAGGTACCTGGTCAGAATCTGAAATAAAGAGACATCCTGACTCAGTCCATGGGTTTCGGTATTGATTAAGTGCTGACAACCCCCCTGGAAGTGAAAATGATAATTGTTAATTGGGCATAAGGAAGGAAAGTGCTGAACAGGTGAAAATTGGCTTCATTCTTTATTTAGTTGCTCAAACAGGTTTATAGATTAAAAGGAGGGAAGGAAAACCCAACAGAGACTGTTCAGCTGCAGGGTAAAAAAATCACTCATTTAACAGCACCAATCAAATACGATGGAAATGGAAAAAAGGGAGAGATTATACTCCTACAATAGGAGGAAGAGGAGGAGGATTGTGGGGTCCTTGGTGCTCCCTGAGCTTGGTTGTTTTCTTGCAGACGTTTCATTACACAACTAGGTAACAACATCAGTGCTGGAAGGAGGGGTGGGGTTTGCTCTCATCAATTGATTTGTTTCCTTGTTTATTAGCACTGTTAACAAGTGGTGAGTGTGACACCGGGAAGCCTGTCACAATCAGTGGCTCATATTTGTGGCTGTTAAAGACATAGTCGCAAATCTATCACATGCATTTCTTCCTCTCTAGGTTTATCCATTGCAACGATGATTCCCCTGACCCTTCGTTGAATTATGAAGTAAGCACGACAGCTACTCGTCCTAGGGTAGCATTTTGAATCTACCCCAAAAGTTTTCCTCCCACACCAGGAGAAAAATAAATTAAATGCATGCAAATCTGTTTAGTTGAGAGAGAGAATAGCTATAACAGCTAGAGGGATGGATAGATAGATACGACAGATATTTAAAAGATAATTAATATTTAATAAATTTAATAGATATAGAGATAATAGAGAGGTATGAGAGAGAGAGAAATAGAGGTAGAGAGATTAGATGATAGAGATAGATAGATAGATAGATAGATAGATAGATAGATAGATAGATAGATAGATAGATAGATAGATAGATAGATAGAAAGATAGATAGATAGATAGATGATTAGATATATAGAGGTAGATTAGATAGATGATAGAGATGCGAGGTAAATAGAGAGATATAGAGAGATAGATTAGATAGACGATAGATGAGAGGAAGATATAAACTGATGATTAGATAAAGAGAGATAGATATGAATAGATATAAGAAAGATAGACTGATGAATAGAGAGAGAGAGAGATTAGATGGATAGATATATAGATATGTAGAGATAAATCATAGATGATAGAAGAAAGATGAATATAGATGATAGATATAGACTGATGAATAGATTAGATAAAGAGAGACATGAATAGATATAAAGATAGACAGATAGGAGATAGATAGATAGATAGATAGATAGATAGATAGATAGATAGATAGA